AGGAACTGAACTTAATGCTCCATGGTGTGTCTACACTCTAATTTAAACATGACAGGGCAAGTCCACTGCCCAAGGACCAAAAGGCACAGGCCAGCCTACATCTGTGATCATGAGCTTGCTGTCCCCAGAATGGAATGGCCTTGTCCCAGCTTCAGACAAGCACGCATGGGCCTGAACAGAGGAAATAGCCCATAAGGCTTTTGTGTCTGCTCACCTCTGTACTTCATGCATTCTTTCTCACCTTATGATACATCATCACAGCAATGTAATGATGACTTTTTGAAGTGTTTAGGGCGTCCTTTTCCCTGTGCCTTCAGATGGCTGTCCACAGCAGCACACATCCTGTGTGTCAAAGCTGGGGCTCCTGAAGTCCCTGCTACCACCACTTTTCCAGCTCATGTTCACTGTGGCCAACTTCTAATTCTTTCTGAAAACCACATTGGGGCTGACCCACATGTGTGTGACACAGGCTTCCAGAGACACTGCTATATGCAGTAGAGCTCCCGCTTCTGGAAAATGACATGGGAAAAGCAACTAGTGCTGGAGTTCAGCAGCGCTAGTTCACACCAAGGGTCTGCACTGAGGTGTTTTTTCTTCTCAATGGAACAAGTGAAAAGAAGTACTATGGAAACTTTTTTTTTCTTACCAACAAGGTGCATTGCATCCTGACAAAACCTCAAGTTTTTTTAACATTCTTTTAAGATGTCTGGCATGATAGAGTAGCATATTATTTGAATGTGAATATTACAAGCTTCACAATTTTATTACGCTCTTACTTTATAACTCTTTCCTAGCCTCCATTGTAGCTTAACATGAGGAACAGTCTTTAAGATCATTATACCTTTAGCCCTCATTGTAAACTTCATTCCCCTATGAGCCTAGCTGCATGTTTCTAGCCAAGATCACACCTTTTAGATGGAACAGTTAAGGATGTCAGTATGAAAAATTCCTCCCACCTCATAACCACTATTTACGAAACTAAAAGAAGGCTTGCAACTTCTTTTCTCAAGGCTGTTTAAGTCATAGATAACCATTATCCATCAGATAACACACAATGCCTGAGTTGGACTAATTTTCTATACATGGCTTGAGCCTTTACAAAACTAAGTGAGCAACTCAAAGTCTTATTTTTAGTGTACCTTGGCATTTAGATTTCTGACATCCGAAGCTGATGCAGTAACAGCACACTGAAAGAACCCCGTGCTTCTGAATCATGCTTGAATTTCAGCTGCTCTCTGGAAACAGAGATTCATATGAATGCATTGAAGGCTTTCCTCTCTAAGACCGCTTAAATTATAAAAAACCATGATGCAACCTGTAAAAACACAAATACACTATGTTCCAGATTCATAGCTGAATTTAAATCCTGTTCTAGAAATCAAATATTACTCTTCTAGAAATCTTCTATTTTAAATCATAATAATGTGATACAAGAAGTTTGCAGCTGCCTAAAGATCCATTTCAAAGAGTACTTCTCATCTTCTGGGATGTCTGTCTGTCAGAGACACTCAACAGAGAACAGTACTTCTATTTACCTTTGAGAAATTACCTCCTCTTCTCCTTCCACCCACTCCAAAAGGACTTTTGATACTTCTTACCTCACAGTAGGATCAGATAAATCTCAAATCAACACCACAATATATTGCACTATCTCTTGTAACCTGTGGCAGTTTGAGATGGGATTGAAGCATTTTGGGATTTCATAAATGAGCCATGAAGACTAAAAATATGCATTCCTTCTGCATTTCTCTTAAAAATGTCAGTTCTAGGTAAAAATAACTCAATGATAAAAGAAAAAAAGAATTACTTTGGGAGGAGATTAAAAAACTTAGGGACTGAAGTCCCCAAGTTTTTTTGTTTTTAGTACTGAGCCACTTAAAGCTTTCACAATTTACAAACAGTACATTGTCTGCTTTGGATTAAGAGTTAACATTTACTATTCAGGTAAAAAGAATGAAATTGCAGCAACTGTTGAAATATATGTGTTTTTTTTTAATTTAAAAAAACCTCCAAAACACTTTTTAAGATGAAAAGACAAACCCTACATTATCGATAAGATCTTTAATTCCTGAAAGCATTAAGACTACAAGTTGCCACCTAAGCAAAAATTTAAGTACACTCCAAATTGTCATTCCTTTAAAGTAGCAGTGTAGCAACCTAAGATGAAAGGGAGTTGGGTTTTGGTTTTTGTTTTGAACAAATGATGACCATTAAAGTATGCAACTTGGAATGACTTGGAGTGTACATTTCTGCTGAGAAGCAGCATAAACATTCATAAATAACCTTGATTCAGTGGTAATGCTAGTCACTGTATGCCAGGCAAACTTATCCAGCCAAAGGCTTCTATAAATAAGTGGAGAAGATTTCTTTTGGAAGGACAAACTACCACTTATATACATGTATGTTAAGTGTACCTTATTCATTCAAAGCATAGGACACTGATATGAAAATACATGGCTCTGCTCCATCCCTTTCTCCCATTCCCATTACTCCTGACTATGCATTTTCATCCCCTTCATGTGTCAGCCTAAGAGCTTAAAGCTTAACTCAAGACAACCTAAAACCACCCACCCGTTTGGTCAGGACAGTCATCAACCCAGATGAAGACTATGCCAACCTTGCTGCTGAGCTACAGAACAATACTATTCCTCTCGTTAGTAGTCATCTTCAAAGGACCTTATAGATCTCATTCAGGTTTTCTTGTTGAAAGCCACAATTCTCCATTCAAAAATGCTTTATGTAAAATACTTGTAGCCTATTTATCCTTGCCAAACAACTGCAAACAGTTCTATACTCCTTAGCATGTAAGTGGAAGGAAGTTTGCCAACAACAGGAGAGTTCACATCAGCTGCCTAAACTGTGCCTTATGTCAGTAAACTGTGTATAGGATAGTCATGGTAATCCTTTAAAATGGTTAAAATTTCAGAAATCAAAGCCAATTGCTACGGGAACACGCACATTGCCTAGGCAGTTTACAAAAACCTCCCAAGAGTCCAACAAAGCATTCAGCACAATATTGGCAAAATTGTCTTTGTGGGTTACAGCAAGATAAGGTGTAACTGCTTCATATGATTTGATCTGTAAGCGGTGTGCTCAGTGATGAGAACAGAACCGCAGAAAACTGCTTTGCTCCCCGAGAAGATTTGAGAGCCAGTCTGCCACAGGATAATAAAACCTGAAACATCTGTAGTCTCATGAGATTTTAACAACTTAAAGGAAATACATTCTGGTTTTGCACCCTCTTCACCGACTTGAGCTTTTGGCTGTCATCAGAACAACTCTCCAGCCTTCCACTCTTCCAAATACAATCACTTCTCCAAACATGCTGACAAAAGAGGGACAGGGTACATTAGTCCTGGACCTAAACAGAGCAAGCTAAGACTTTTACCGAAATACTGCAAGAGAATTAAGCACTTTTGTGCCATCTTCAACATATCAGATGTATGAAGAGTGCAGTCCTTCCATCTGCTAAGCAGGGAGCACCACGGTGTGGACAAAAGCTGTTAAAACAGCCCAGGTAAATAACAAAGCAGCATGAGGCTGCGCACATCTGAGTGTCAAGACTACTCAAGTGCTTCCAGAAGGAGATATAAGTCTGCCTCAGCATCTCTTTGCTACAGAAACTCTTTAAAGTATGGTATTTTAAAATTTCTTTTCCAGAAATGCATTTGTTTTATATTCATATATATTAACTCCTACTTCCAGAGATTAATACTGCAAAATACCAGCTGCATTTCTGCACTGTTACTTGAGGCCTAAATTACACTTTCAACAAGCATCCCAGGAAGTACCCTCCTACTCAACGTGTAATATCTAAGCTCCCAACATACTGTAAATTAAGCAAAGGAAGGAAACAAGCTGTTTTAAATGTTTTTTATTACAGAAAAAGAAAAAGCTTACACTTGACTTAGAAAAGCAGCATTACTTTATGAATCCCAAGTTACTACAGTGAAGTTGCTTTAAGAAACCTTTAGAGACTGAAGAAAAAAAATAAAATGCTCTCCCCTCAGACAGCACTCTAGATTACTTGTGTGACCACAGAAAATGCCTGAATCTCACATCACTTCTGACACCCAGTATATGACTTGTATGTTTTTCTTCTCCTTGTGACTTGCTCAACAGTTGGGAAATGGATTTTGTGAAAACAGCAGTACATTTCAAGTTTAATTTTCAATAGTTCAGTACCCATCTGATGGATATTAGAGTTCAGAAGTGACCGAGACACTGGCTTTACTCCTAACTCTAGCTACTAAGTGGTACAGTTTTAACAGATCCCAGTGTGATCTGTTTCTTCCACAGTATTTATTCTTACTCAGGTCCCATTCAGAAAATTTCTCACCAAGGTAACTGGCTACTACTGATTATAAATACAAACAAAAAATAACCACAAAAAAAAAAAGGCTCGTAGTTGAAACAGCTCTTAGCAGTACAGCAGAACTCACATATTTTTTCATTTTGATCATACTCCATAGAAGGAACAGCAGTGTTCCAGTGACCACTTCAGGTTTTTTTATTACATCAAAAGCTGCAGGTTTCCAGCCTGAGCCAAAATTAAATATATGTAATGGATCTGTCTTGAAATCTTAAAGAGAAGACAAATCAAAAAAACGTATTACTGCCTTAATAGTCTTATATTTTGACTATTAGCACTGAGTTATGCTGAAGTCAGAAGAAATTTACAGGTTTTTCAATTGGTGATTTTTTTCTCTTTTTTAAACTTTTTTAATAAACAACCCAGGACCTCAATACCATGTTAAAAAAACTTGCTAAACACATTTTTAAGCATCTCATTCTTCATATATATACTAAAACTATACCTCAAAGACTTTGCCAAAAAATTAAACATCAACAAAATCAAAAAAACTTAAGTCACAATGTACAATTAGCTATAATGACAAAAATAAAAAAAAAATTCATAGAAGGAAAATGGAGAAAGCAAAAAATAGGGGAAAAAAAGGCATCTGACACACGTTGCTCAGTACTCTATGAACTCATATTTTTCCCTCCACCCGAAAGGAAAAAGGTTGGATTCAAAACCAGACAGAATTTTTCTGAAAAATATTCCTAATCTCTTTACATGTTGTTCATACTGTTTGATAACAACATCTTTCAAGTCAGGGATCTACTCTGCATTGCAAGCTGAAGCCAACTGTTACCAAGCTACTTAAACAGCAGAAACAAGTTTCTATCCTACAGGGAAAAAGAATACAATGTTTTCCCTCGTCACGATTCTATAGCATCATCAGATTTACTCAAATACAGAACCTGTCTATTTAAGCTTATCCATGTTTTTTATTTGAAATTCCTTAATTTAGTGCTATAGCATAGTAATTTCTTATGTGATCAAGCTGCCTTATAAGGAAGATATTACAATTTGTATTATAAAGTAATATAGCTTTGAACAAAAGAGGGGAAAAAAAAAGAAAAAAACCCAGCAAGGAGTAGTTCAAGGAGGAGCAATGTAAGTTCTGTGGTATTCTCTGTGACACTAATGCCAAAGGCTCCTTTATAGCTTCCCCGTGAATATTTTAACCCTGGACACAAATTAGTCCTTTTCAGAGTCACAGGGTTATATTCAAAGTGAATTTTATGATGAGAAAGGTAAGAAAAATGCATTATACTGATCAATCTATATAAATGTTAATATTATGCTCTTTAAATCCCTCCTTCATAGTAAGTAACCATCTCAAACAAAACCAACTACCTCAAAGATATATAACAATCTCAATTAAACACTGTAAATCAAATTTACACCATTCAAAAAGGTTGTCATTAGAGAGTTATACAAAATCGTCAGAGGGTCTTTATATTTATGTCTTCCTTTATCAAGTTATGCCGAGGATTTAGCAAACTTAATACCTTTCACACTAAGTCCGTGCAAGCACTCATAGAAAACAACAGGCAATCATGTTCTAAAAGGTTTATAACATACTTTTCCAATATTTTCAACTGCTAGAGCACTAGTAAACACTTAACTTAGAATTTAACTCCCACATCCTATATCAAGCAAATATACTTGACTGCCAATATTTATATTATTACATGGTAGAACAGTCCTCCAATTCATAAGAGTTTACATTTAATTTGAGAAAAAAAGAAAAGCTTCTTGGTTTGTGTTTTTTTTTTTTTTTCTCATAATAATTTGCAAAAGGTAGAAGATGTGACTTCTTGGAAAATTCATAACTTGTCTTTAGCTATCAGGCTCTGAAAGACTTCACAGCTCTCTTCATCTTTCTTAGTTTTCAGCCTTAATTTTATATGAATGAGTGCTTAGCTGGGCTATTACAAGCAGCAGTTCATCACATACAGTAAGGCCAAGTAACATTATCTCACTGTTCTGGAAATGAACAATTCATAACTCTTCCAAAAATGGTATAGAACTGTACCTGCAAATTTCTTCAGTTTAAGTTGCTCTTTGTTAATAAGGACAATTAAGAAAACATCCATTTTTTTTTCTGTCAATTTCTGAGAAAATTTGAATACATGCAAGTCAAAACTACCATAATGCAGACAAAACAGTCCTCTGTCATGAAGATCATCAATTAATGAAAACCTTCAATAAATAAATCTATTTGGAAATTCTAGAGAATTCTTCTGCTAAACAAGTTAGTCTTTTTTCTTTTCCATTATGTCTTTCTGTTTAAGCTCTCCATCTGAAAGTTCTGTGTATTTTCCATTCTTTTCTTCCTCTTGTTCTTCCTCACTGCCTTCGTCTGTGAGCTCTCGATCGCCACTTTCCTTTTTAGCTCCCTCATGCTCAAATACCTCTCCATCTGTATCAGCTGTGCAGATTCCATAACACATAATGCTGATGACCCCCAGGGGCAACCCAAAGAGAAAGCATCCCAGCAGTGGTGAACTCTTGAACACAGACTGTTGAAACAGAAATTTGAAGTAGAAAACACTTTCAGTGAATAAAGTTACTGCATTACTTCTCTTATCACTCTGTGTATTTATTCAAAAACATCCAAAATGAGATGCAGTGGTTTTCAGGGAGATGCATAGGTTTTTTTGGGTTTTCTGCTTCCTTGGTTTGGGGTTTGTTTTTCGTATTGCTGTTGCTTTGGGTTTTTTTCAGATTTTGTTTTGCTTTCTTCTGCAAAAATGACAAGGAGTCCTCAATTGCAACTATATCTACTATAAGTTTATAAAAAAATACTTAGAAATTCAAATATTACAATACTGCTGGGATAGTTAATGTTAACATGCCAACAGCATATCCTATTCATTGTTTGAAGTTTCAAAAACAATTGTTCTAACGGTGTTACAAAAACACTTCGAAGGAACCAGATTCAGCTACTATTTGTGCCTCATTCTCAAAAAATTTGAGTAATAAGGGATCTGCAGAAATATTCTGCTACTAGACAGCTTCCTGTTGAAGAGTAGCTTAATGGCACGAGAAGAAGTACTTATGGTTGCAGAAATTTATGGTTAAAAGTTGCACTTTCACAGAAGTAGAAGCCACTGATATAGAAAAATATAAGTTTCAATTTAAATTCACAGCATAGGTTTATTTGCTTGTGTAGGACAAGCGAAGAAATGTACTTGTGTACATCCTCAGTTAACAAAACTTCCTTAGCCATGATTAGCTTATAAGAAAGATGATACAAACAGTTGCTTTAAACCTACACAGAGTTGTATTTAATCCTTTTATGCTGTAACTAATTAAACCAATACCATTTTTCAGAACATGGAAGTGCTACCAGTTTCAGGAAAGGATGTAGAAAGATCAAGGAAAAGATTTATCCCTTAAAATACTTGTCAGACATATAGAGAGAGAGTGAAAAACTAAGAAACCAACTTATGTTGAATAATTATAAAATATAGTATTAAAATACTTAATCAAGCAGTAATTTGGCTTAAATCTAATTTACATATACCTATAATATATACACAATATATATAATATAAACCAACTTATATAAAAATATTTTTTAACCCTCTGAAAATATTCTGATTGACAAGGGTACCATCTAATTTAATGAAAAATAACACTTACCATTATAGTAGACTTGGCATCATAGATTATTCTCTTGAATCGTTGCAGAAGTCCATCACCACCCTGTGCCTGAAATTTCAAATGCAACCAAGTCAAAACTGCTGACACTTTTCAGTTATGATTCCAAAAGTTCATTCTTCAGACCTTGCAATGTTAAGTCCCTTTAGAAGGAAACGAAAAGTAATTATTCTTACATCTCGTGATGCCCAGACACTCCAACTTGTCAATCTTAGATAACTGTTATTCAATAGTCCCATGAAAAAGTCTCTCACAATTGTTTTAAACAATCAGTGCCAACTTGAACAGTGGCCTGGCACTCACTCTCTTATCATAGAGAAACACTAATGAAAATTAGCAACTGTCCTGATGTAACATCAGTAAACTGCAGAGATCTTCTGAACTTTCCTGAAGCTGCTGGATATCCATTTCAGTATTTCTGACAGTGCAGTTAGAAAAAGCTAAGGACTAAGCAAAAAGAAGATACGAAGGTGCAATAAATAAAACTTGTGTCAAGCAATGACAGACTATACCTACAATGCCAGCTAATTCAGCAAGTGTTCAAAATAACTACATGAATCTGAGGGCAATCTGTCTGTTGAACAGGACTAGTTTTCACCTGTTGAGTTGCCAGAGGAACAAACCCCATTTTGGAAGTCAACTCATCAGCACCTGATCTGACCAAAACCCCTCAAAATAGCAAAAAAGTCCACAAAGATCAAACAAGCTCACAAAAGGTTACCTATAGGGGGCCTTACAGAAAATAACAAGAAAGTCAAGGTGAATAATCCAACACTTTCCAAGGATTATTAGCTGTTCACCAGCATACTTTGAAGACTTGTCATTTCTCAACAGCCATACAATTTCTTGGGCAAAGAACATGGTCAACGTAGTGCTATTTTATGTCTGTAGACACCTTAGACAGCTTAAATGAAGGCACATCCTATATTTTTGTCTTGTATAGAGATGTGAATTTAGACCAATCTTTAATCATTCTAGCTGGAATACTGCAAACAAAAGACAGAAAGACCTAAGTGACACTATGGTAGCAAACCAAGGCATCACAAATTAATTTCCTCAAAGTTAAAAACCAGACAGAAATGAATTCCAATTGTTGTTTCAACCAAAAGGACATACTTAAATAGAGTCTGGTATGTTAATAACATAATTAAATGCATTTAAAAAAGCACTAAAAAAAGTGAGAACTGAAGAACAAAGAACTACAAAGTAAGTTATAGTAATACCCCTCACCCTGCAACTGGAAGCATGGCCAGTGAAGTCATGAACAACAAGTAAATCCACCTACATTGTGTTGCTACATCAATTTGTCAGATTCAATAAACCAAAGTGCCCCATATGACTGAAATGATCTTCAGCATTACTTGCCATTTCCACCCAATGACCTAAAACTGCTGATGTAACAGAAAGCAGGATTCAGCTAACACAGTAAGCATTCTGCAGCAAGTTGGGGCTTAAACCAACACAGGTTTCTCCTCGGAGGCAGACAAATTATTTGTTAGCGTTGCTCCCCTTCGTGGCAAAGCCTTCCACCCCCCCAAGCACAAATGAAAGCTCTGATCCATGTTTTTCTCTCATCCACACAACACAGCCTTCTGTCTAACAAAATACACCAAGGGAATAAACACTAGGAAATTATCCAAGCCATCAATTCCAGATGGATTTATTAACTTTGTTGTTTTAACAAAAGATGGCTTGATTTTAGTTTTAGAGCAGACATGGGGAAGTTTGTGTCCATTTCTAACGTACAAAGTGAGTATACCACTGTTTTTTGAATCAAAACTTATAATTTATCCACCTATTTGATTTATTATTTACCATCCAAAAGAAAGAGTACGGTTGAATTACGCACTATAATAAAAATTTTAAACAAATGCATTTAATGCAAACCAGGAGATTAATAAGGAGATCTCCATTTACCAGTGCACCAGTATAAGGAATATTAAAAGAAGCCAACCAACATTACGCTATAAACAAAATAAACCTTGTTTTCTGCAGGAGGTTCTGCAGTCAGAACAGTAAGTAACAGCACAACTCCAGAATTCACAGTCACATACTCACTGCCAGCACACAAGACAATAAGACAGATAGGACAGGAAGATAAAACAGATGACACAACAATGAGAGAAATCAAATGCTTTTCCTACTTTGGCTTCTAAGGAAATAAACATTAAACAACATGTTCCAAGTCACAATGAAGACTTACTTCTGCTGTACCATCCAAGATATTGTTAATAAACTGAACCATGTCTTCTGTGCTCTCAATGTGCCTATCTGGTAGAAAATACTGCTGATTGGAGGTATTCAATACAACAACAGTAGGGATTGTCAAGTCACTGGAAACATAAAACAGACAGTTTATACATTTAAAGAACTACCATGCAAAAACATGGAATTCAAGTAATCGCTACATCACTTAAAAGGATATCCATTAACCTTCACTGTCTTGTGTGTTCTTTATAGAAATTCCTTAAAGGCAAGAGGGAAGGGAGAAGAGAATCACCTGAATGGTTATGTTTCTCATTAGTATTTTTTTCCTTCACATCTGTGTCAGTGACACTATCAAAGCTTTTTGTAATTTACGTACCCATAGTGACTGCAAATCAGGTATCTTACAACTTTCCAATTAGTGAGAGATCACAGACAGTAGCCTCGTATACAAAACGTATTAAGTGTTTTAGTGCACAAAGGTAGAGTATAATTCAAAAATTTAATCCCATACAACCACAGTCTAACTGATCAGCTCCACTGATCAACCTCTGCCTGTCAAGTCAAAAGAATAAGACACACCAACCGAGTTTTTCAACATCACTTTTAGATATGGCAGATGAGCTACAGAGTTTTAAAAAAATTAATACTCAGCAGTTAACCATGTGCATAAGCACTACCTAGTATAACAGAACTGGAAAGAAGAAAAAAGTTAGAAACTAAATCTGGACACAGACCAATTAAATCTTCTGTTCAGTGTTTATATCAGGTTTAAGAAGTTTTAGCACTGCACAAGTATAGTGCACAACAAGAAAAATTTAAAATGCATTAATTAAGGTTAAAAATCTCCTATAGTCTTTGTCAATTTTCTACAATTCTGTCAATAATTAATTCAAATACTAGGTGGCTTTCCTTCATAGCAGAAGTAATGCAAACCTTGTTTTTCTACATTTTCACTCTTCCTTAATAGCGTCCCATCCATGTACATTTGTAATCCATGTAATATTGATGATGATTTCAGCTTTAACCATGACTATCAGTCCACAAAAAATTATTTCATTAAAATATTGTTTAGCATTTAGCATTCAAGATTGTTATTTTTCTTTGAAGTCACTGAACTTATCCTAAATTTTCTCTCATATTTTAGGTGGGTTCTTTGTTTGTTTGTTTTTGTAATTTAAATTAAAATGCAAACCTAAAAGTGAAACCATTGAATACTTATACATGAAAACTTTCTAAACTTCTAGAAAACTGAATACTTCAAGACCACATTCCCAGTACTCAAGTTGAAAGCATGGAGGCACCTCAGAAAATGTATGGGCAACTACAGAAACAACAAAATAATGTCATCATTTAAATGGAACTTTAAAAGACCAACCAAACAAAATTTTTTCCACAGAAACAACTTTCAGCATAAGATTCTCTCAGTATAATTTTCCCTTGACATTTTTATTCTGTATTTATTAGAAAAACCCAAGAAATATAAGTTGAGGGCACTCAAACCAAGTCAAGTGTTTTTTGCAAGTTAGGAACTTCTGCCAAAATACATCGTCCCACCCAAAACAGAACAAGTTTCATTACTGGGATGCACAAAGATTCCTCAAAAAAATCCAACCTCAAAACAAAACAAATGAACAAACAAGAAACTACCCAGTGTTTCTATTGCACTTAACAGTCTGGTAACTGATGTTCTTAGAGCAGCTGAAAGACAACCTCCATACACAGATTCTATACGCTATACAGAGGTTCATAAAAGCATATTTAATGCATCTCTTCCAGGAACTGAAGAATTAATACTCTACATACACCTCTAGCTGACGTTCTCAATGACACTATACACTTTAGCTTGCACAAAGCTGTATGTTTGCTTTCAGTAATGTAAGGAATATTCTGTTTTCTTCTTTTGTGTGTAGTTTTTAACCCTACCTTTTCTAACCCAACAAAAGCATGTTCATACACTGCTGAAGAGACAGAAAAATGATAAATATGCTTCTGTCAGAGTCTACTAATTCTATCCCTACAAATCATACAATATTTTGTCCTTTGTAAAGAAACAGAATTTGTTCCAATGTCCACCTGGCACAGTAAAAAAGTGTTCTGTGATACATTTCTTACTATTCAGAAGGCTTTTTCTATTTCCACTTGCTGCCATCTGGTGACAAACCAGAGCATTTGCAATATGCTTTTACTTGAATTATTCATGTATCCACAGGAAGAGCAGCTACTTGTGACACTGAACATAACTTGCTCCGTTCTTTTGCTGCTTTCCACTTACACTTGAAATGTTTACACTCTGTTCAGAAAACAATTAAAAGCCAGTGAATACTTGAGCAACAACTTCCCATATACTACAGATTACAAAGTCAGGCCTTTTGCAGATTCAGTTAAACAATCCAGCTGAACAGACCTGGCCACTGAATCACTACCACTCTAAGTGGCAGTTCTGTCTTGGTTCCCTTCATTTGCTTCCTCCCAGAGATTTCATCTCCCTCCCCCCTACTTCTCTGCACATCAGTTCTGGTACTCAGCAGAGTAGAAGGAAAGAGGTTTAAGGGTTTTGTTGAATCAGCAAAATAACTTCCCTACGTGGCTAGACAGAAACCATTTTTCTGCCAGATAAACAAGCCGAAACAGTTCAGCAGACAGTCAGACGTAAAAGCCTGCACAAGAGAAGCAATTAACCAAGTGAGAAAGGTCTCACTTTTGGCAACTATAAAGCTCAATCACATCACTTGACTTCAACTGAAAGACAGCTGTTTTTAAAGTAATTATATTCAGGTCTTAATCTACAGACATCCTACAGAAATACAGGTCTTGTGCTGCCTGGGTCTCCAGCTCCTAGAACCTTTAGGGGCACAAACACATGCTTTATTAATGCTTTGATAGCCCAGAAAGTGGTTTGGAAAACTTACAGAGCTGGCATACAGACCTCCGATTTTCGCCTCTTTCGCTCCAAAGGCCAGGGGAGAACAAATAGTCAATGGTAAATGTCAAGAAACTTAATTCTCTAATTATGCATTTTTTTAGAAAAGGATCATAACAAGGGCAACTGTCAAACATCTTGTTAAACCACTTATATATTTCAAAATCTGCCATGTACATATCAAGAGCAGACAGCATCTTACATGCATTTTATGCTTCTTCTCTACAGAAGCATACTTCTATGCATGTCTTAAAAATGCATCAAGAATGAAAATCCCACAACTCTTAACAGTTATTAACTTAACAAAGCAGACCTAAAAGATAAGTTTGTCTATCAGTATTATCAGTAAGCCAAGCTTCTAATACTAAATTATGCAGTTTAATTAATTTAACAAACAACCATTACTATGTTTCATGCTGAATTCTGAGGACACTGATTTTTTTTTTTTTTTGAGCCATAAAAGCCAGGAATTCTTCATAAGATTATTTTTAATCAAATATATTTGGTAACAAATACAAGAGAAGAAAGAAAACTCAAATAAGAATTTACTTACTCCATTAGTAAACTGTTAATGTAATCATTTCCATCCATATGGCCAAACTGGAAATCCCTGTAACAAAAATGGTGAAAAAAGCAATGATGAAAAAGAAAACAGAATGGTGGATTTAAGCAAAAAATTACCTTTAAATATTTTTCCTATAACTGAAGACACTCAGCAATGTAATTCAAAAAAGTGATGATCTACTAGACAGTTCATTTAAGATATCAGTGTACGATGTGTGCCTACCTGTGAAAGTGATCCCGATAATCTCTAGCAACTTCCTGAATAATGGACTTTAGTCTGGAGGCAAAAAAAAATGACACTAATAATCCAAGATATACTCTTTCAAAATACAAATGATAAACACTGAGATTTCCCTAGAAAACAGCAAATTTGACCTCATCAGCAATAAGGATTAACAAAAAACACCTGTTTCATCGTGGTTGGTTCCTAAAGGTTTAAAATCTCATACACAGTACTTGAACTGCATTTTCTTAGTCTAATTACATATGCAACCAGAAATGGACAGGGGAAGGTCTCGTTCCTCAGTCTCAAACTCCAACCCCTTTTAAAATGTTCCACAGACAACTAATATGTAAGCATCAGTACACTAATTTTTAATGCAAGTGAGCTGAGTACAGTCATTTGTTTAAACTTACTAAGTTCACCTCAAAGTCATCTAAACTCAAGTACTCTCATCTAAAGGTGACACAATAGCTTTTAAGAGCTATGAGATCACCGTTGGCTCCTGTGATCTCATTAACAAAGGGCAGAAGAGTGAGTCAGGAACTCCTACCATCCCACTGAACTCACATGTGCTTCACCTGAGCCATAAATTAAGTAAATTCAGGACACTAAGTCAGAAATTAGAGAATACTTGCAAGTTAAACCCACTCATTTAACCTAGTATTTCTTAATAATTAGGAAACTTCCAAAGTTCCCTCTGCCATACCAGCACATTTCTCCCGTAGTGTCACCAATACTCAGTTCTGTACCTGGTATGTTCCACTGAAGAGTTTTTATCATCAATGACTGCAATTGCCACAAGTTTTCCTAAAATAAGGAATAAAATTCTTGAAACCATTTAAAAAGAAACACACATTCTCAGACGGAAAATATGTTAACTTACAATCTCAAAGCAAAAGAGCCTCTTCAAGTTGACCAAAATGCGGTTTTCTAAAAGCTACTGAAAATAAATGAACTTGTGGCTTAATGCCACACCACTAGCATTCTATGAAAAGCCTATCCTTAGAAAGAAGTTAAAAGGGAGAAAATACAGATAAAAAAATTAGTTACCTACTCAGGCTGCATATTTGCATATACCTAAATATGAGGCTACGGAGACCTTTACCACATAACAGCAGTTACAAGCTGATTCTAAGTCACTGAATCACTCCTGTGTGGATTTAAAATGATTACTTTTCACACTACTAAAAATTTGGAGTATTATGGCAAAAAAAATTTGGAAAATACTGACAGACCTCAGAATTCATCACATCATTAAAACAATTAAAGCACTTCCTATTAGGAAAGCAGATCTGCTAACAGTGCAGTCATCAGCCAGATTAACTAAAGCCTACAGAGCGCAGATATGTTAATTCACTTGAGATGCCATGATTCATTTAAAACCCTCCCCACCAACACAACCTATGGCTCTGTTCCTATCTATCACCATGCAACAGGGAGCATTCTCCTCAAAAATAGAAAGTTGCTTTTGTCCAAGTAATACTGAGGAGTTTTAAGGGTAAGAACTATGATTCATTCCCAGGCTTTCTTGTGAAATAGCAACAGCTTCTCCCTGTCCCACTTCTTCCATACCTCAATTCTCCCTTTTCCCCATTTCTTTCCATATCCTGGGGTACTACCTAGTGAATACACTAGGAGTCAACTACCTTTTAGACTGAAAAAGGCAATGTAAATAAATTCCAGGTACATCTGTATAAAGTCAACATTTTTCTTTTTTGTAATTGGAGGAACTGTTAGACAAAAACGTAACAGGAACAAATATACTTACTACATTTAAAAAAACTTGTAAAAGCACTTCTGTAAATAACTGTTTAAAATGTAGGTGTAACAACATTAGCTTTATATGTGAGAACCTAGATGTTTCACAATCTTTAAAACCTCCAAGAACTCAATGCTGATTGAATAAAAATATTTTGAAAGGGAATGTAGATGATAAGATACCCTGCCCTGGAAAAATCAACATGTACAGCATTTTTTATGATACTTCAGAATATGTGTATCTTAAGAGTAGTACAAGTTATTTGCCCTATTGCAGAACTGACTTGGCTGCAAAATTTTTATTGGCCTGCTTTTACTTGTCCCCTTTCTGGGACAAGTCCACTTTGGCACATGCTCCACTCCCTTCATATCTGTTTTAAAGATAATCTAAATCCACTTGATGTAAAACATCTGAACCTGTCCATATCTGATACTTCTAAATCTAGTCATAAAATTCCCTGTAGGTATTCCAAGAGCTCATATACAACTTATGTAAAACCTAAGGTGCTCTTAAATTAAAAGTTCTACTAATTTTTCTGAATACTGCAGGATTAGACATACAAATATTTATGTTGTGAGGAAAGGATAAGCGTAGGACAAGGCTGTAGATGAAACCTCTAGTCAACACAACAGGTCTCACCAACACCAACAAAAGACTGGCACTATCAACTCAAACTCTGAGACTGATAAATTTCTAAGATTTAAAAAACACATTCTTAGTACTCTGTTAATTTTTCTTACTGTTTAGTACACAAGATGTCAAACAGATTAGTGGCAGCAGCATCTCACCTGTATCTCCAAGTTCATACAGTGTAAAGCCATCAACATTAAGGTAGCCTTGAAACCTTTCTCTGTTTATCCAGGATGACAAATCACCATCTTCATACTCTAAAACAAACAAACAACCAACCACATAAAAAAAATTAAACGCAATTCAAGGAGGCTAGAGAGTGAATTTTTATCTGGAGGCAACACACTAAGGAGGAAGATAAGCATATCCCTTCTATGAAGTCACAAAAAATATCCTCGATGGCCAATCTGGAGTATTTTGTTGTGGTACTACTTATTCTCGGAAATGAAAACTCCATAATAATCTTCTGAGTGATAAATTTTCAACTTACAGTAAATCTCATTAACTGTCTGAAACTGTAAATTCATCGTGTGTGTGATTCCTCTTCAGTAAGTTTTCTTCTATTTTGTGTATGATGAATTAGGACAGTGAGGGAAGGATAACTTTTATAAGTACATTACTGCCAGAAAAACAGTAATACTGGAAGCTACATCTTACTGATAACTTAAAGCAAACATCATCACTTCTACCTCAGTATTGCTAAAACAAATGCCTTGCGTTTTGTGGTGTAAGAACTAATTATTTTTTTTCTCTTCTCCTTCTTGAAGGAGTTGCTACTTATTCTAAAACTGGAGAATCTCCCAGAACCCCAACATAACCTTCAAAAAAATCCCAACTCTTCCAGTTTCTCCATATATAGTTTAAGTACCTTGTCTTAAGGTAATGTCCACTTTTACTTACCATCATAAACAAAGTAAGTTCCATCTTTGAAGACCATAACAGCAGGTAATTCAGGCAATGTCACATACTGAAAGAGTTGGTTTTCAATTAATCCATCAAAAATTAAAAGATGTTTAAACAGACAAATTAAAAAACCTGAAAACACTGAAATCCAGTCCCTGGGAAAATCCCTACGTAAATTTAAATATTTCTGTCCAAATTTACTAAAATAAATTTATCAGCTTCTGCATATTAAAAGTCACACAGCATCAATGTAGTTTTAAGAGGCAGATCTCACATAGCATAAATGAAACAGGATTTTTTACTAGTATCTCAGTAGCATGAAAAATATTTTATGAGTTGCACATGAACTTTAGATAGGAGATCGTAAACTTGAGGGTTTTATCAATCATGGCCCCTGTTCTCAATCTGTGCTGTTGTCAGCATACCTGTCATATTGTTATTTCTTCTAAATGCACAGTAAAACTAATACTGATAAACATGTCCCACTAAATCTGGGCTATTTTCTGTCGTTCAGACTGATGGGAATATAAAGAAACAGCTTCAGAAGACAAGGCTGCATACAGACCTAATTTAGGCAAAAAGAACAAGACAAGCCAGCATTACCATGTTAAAAATGATATTTAGGATGGTCAGCAACATACTAGAAAAAGAGGAGCAGAAACATTTTCCTTGGAACTTAAAGTATCTCATTTAGCTCACGTTTTCAGTGAACTGCCACGAAGATATTTTGTCATCTACTCCTGACTGCTTGCTACCATTTTAAGTTAAAATTCTAATGGCACTTGTGGTTAAAGAAGGACTGTATCATGAGCATACTTTTGATTATGTTGGCTGAATTGTCTAATTTACTGATATGTTTGGAAAAGTAAGAACTGCATCACTTCCAGACAACATGCCTTCTGCAATCTGTCTTGGAAATAAATGTAAAAGCAGTAGGTTTACAATGTAACAGCTGACACAAATGAGCAAGAAGAAAATTTTAAGTGACACTTTTGTTCTCTTATTTTAAACATAGTTTAACATCTTTAAAGGACAAATCAATCTGTGTACAGCTTATGGCTTGCAAATAACACCTGAAGCTTGGAACAACATTACCTAAGGTGCCAAAACAAAGGCTGACAGTGAACACTGTTATGCAAAGGTTCATTACAACTCTAGCAGTCAGTAATTTCATAACATTTTTGCATCTCTCTATAGAATATTTCTACTTCAGCTTAATGATAATTGGGAAAGTACCTTCTCTGGAAAAAAAACCCCTCACTGCTTACATCAGTGAGATCACACAATCTCACAGACTTCCAGCCTTTTACACTCGTTTCCACTGCACAACTGAACAGCACTTTTCTTGCTCAGGTGGGGCTGAAGTGCAAGTACTAGTATTCAAATGAAGGTGGCCTTAGATAAAAGGCTTCTGGAGATCTAACAATTCACTATTTAAAATGAGTATGTTTTACTTATGATGTTGGAAAATGCAGCTGCCTTAAAAAAAAAGAAAAAAAGCCAACAAATTATGCTAGTTCTAACCCTGCTAATCCCAAACTCATTTCAAAGTCATGTTTTATCACGCATGAAGTAGACTTAGGTCCCACTTGGAGATATCAATAAATGAAAAAGCCTCTTGATTTTGCTTCAACAGATAAGCAACAATGGTAAGACTAACAACAGTAATACCAATTTCTTTCCACCCTTGCGACTAACTTTCAGTATTTTCCTTGTTACAGACTCCTCCAAAGAGCCACATGAGAATTCTGCAGCCAGTAGACTGGATCCATTTATCCCTGGGCAGACTAACGTTTTGATCACCTATATTGTACAAGACAAAAATAACTTACCTCTTCAATTACTAAGGTACCAAAAGTACTCCATGGCAGAGACTCCCAAATTAGTTATAAAAGTGGTTGGTGAAAGGACTGTCTGAAGCGACAGAGTTGTACATTGGCTAAAAGTCCAAGTATCTACTATCTTGAGTAGATACTTTTCCAAGTATCTACTTTCTTACTCTCACATCGAGTTCCACATATCTTCCACATATCTTTGGCCAAAACAAAGCACTGACAGTCTGAAATTTGGATTGTATTCTTTCCTCACATAGACTCAAAAATTATACATTTCAGTGTAATTACTTTGAAATCTATCAAAGCCAAATATACTCTAAGAGCCCATTTATGTGCCCTTGAAACAGCAAAATTATATATATGAGAACAACACCATTTCTGTGAAAACAGTAGGCATGGAAACAGCTTACCTCAGGCACCACATCTTCTGAGGCAGAAAAAAAGTACGTATAAACTATTAGTTCTGAAGCAACTTCAATGTATTTTTCCTGAAAAAATACAAACAGTGTTTTGTAATTTCTGAACTTTTAGTATGGGGCAAATAAAAGCTTTGTGACATACATCATCCTTAAAGAGCAATTAGAAAATATGGTTTTTGGCACAAGATTGTAAAAACAAATAAATGTAGAAAGATCACATGAATTTGCTACAAGCATACACTTCAGTCTTTTAAAAGATAATTTAAATTACTCTGCGAATAGCCAAAAGAAGTAACTTTACTTAATCAAGCTTCAAACCTTTAAAGGAGATTCACCACCAACATACACAAAAAGTACACGATGTCTCTTTTGCACATGCTCAAACATATGCTGGCTAGGAAGTGGCCTGATAAGTGGTCTGGGAGGGAAATAAAAACAAGAAAGAGAAACCTCAGTCTTGTCAACCTGCAAAACCCAAACAAACAAAAATCCACAAGAAAACGTCATACAGTTTTTTGTGGGTTTTTTAAAATTAAATTCCACAATGCACATTAATTCAATTTTTACATTTATTATTTTATTTTCAACTAAAAGGAAAAAAGAAAAATCCCCCCCCCAATAACATGTTACATTCCTCAAATAGCTGAAATTTGAAACTCATTGAACTGAAATTTGAAACTCATATCTAAGTACAAAATGCTGCTACAAAATAAACATGCATGCCATTTACTGGTCACAGAATCAGAGGTTGAGCTGGACTGGAAGTGACCTTAAAGATCACCTGGTCCCATCCTCCCACCATGGGCAGGGACATCTTCCACTAAACCAGGTTGCTTGAAGCCCCACTCAGCCTGGCCTTGAACACTTCCCAGGATGGGACATCCTTACAGTAAAGAATTACATCTTACTACCCTTACAGTAAAGAATTTCTTCCTGATATTTAATCTAAATCTATCCCCTTTCTGTTTAAAACCATTGCCACTTATCCTGTCAGTACAGACCCTGCTAAAATGTCTCTCTTCTTCTAAGACCTCTTAGTGAAAGGTCACAATAAGGTCTCCATCATTTGAGAGACAAAATTCTCCATTTAAGCATAGCAGTTATGAAATGCAATCTATCACTCCATATTCCTAAACTACAGACTTCTGAATAATAACAAATATTATTGTTCTTATATCAAAGCTTCTTAATTATTTTTAAAAATGGAGGAAAGAAATGTGAATCTTTCTTCTCCCCCAAGTTTACTTGTCAATAACATTTTGAGGACACAGGCCACGGTAGGGAAGAAAGAATGAGCCAACAGAAACTGTTATGAACAATCTGCCAAAGCATTTCCTCATGCTGCCTATCAGATGCACAACTTCTGAGCATGAAGCATCTTCTGCCTTAGTAATGATGCCTGTCAGCCAACATTTAGATTGGCATTCTTTTTTCCTGACTTCCCTGAGCTTCATTTGGTTGTAGTTTCCAGTAGTTTGAAAAGCCCTTAGTTCTTGCACTGTAAAGAAGGTATTGTAGCCAGTCTCTCTGTGCTCTCTCCATGCCCCTCACCACCAGCCTCACATGTAGTCACATGTATAGTGACAGGCATCAATAGTATATATAGTTTTTCACTTTGTGTCAGTATCTTGTTCTTTTTTAAACAGATTTAATTCTTGGTTCACCTCAAAATCCTACTGAAGTTTTAAGTCACCAGAACCAGTTTCACGGAGGAACATACTTACCCTGCCACTCTATTAGCAAATTCAACTATATCATCTTTGGTTCTAGGTCCTCTATAGTTGTATGCCAAGTCACCTTTTAAGCTAGATAAACAGAAAAGACAAAAGAAAGAACAGAACTGAAATGACCTAAACTACATTTGTACATGCAAAACTACTCAATCTTCACAGGTTTATTATGGTTGCCTTTTAGTGAGTGAGAAGCAAAAGAAGTGGTCAGCAAAATATAAGACTCAATAACGCAATACAATGCAATTATACAGTAAAAACTTATTTACACAATATCTGATTTATTGACTCTTTGAAATAATTAGCATTCTTTTATATTTATTTTTCTAGTGCACAGCAGTCATTTACTTTATAAGCACACAGATACTTTAGAACATTTGCTTATGACCCTATAAAAAAAACTCACCCCACACCCAAATGAAACTCCAAATGCTCAACATTTATACTGCCAAGGTATTAGTCTTTATAAAAGACAAACATATAAACATCTTTATTCCTTTTTTTATAACTGAAAGGTATCAAATAATTTGCAAAACCTTCTGAATATATGTATTAAATTAAGCTTCCCTGAAGTGTTGGTCAGCTTATGGTACTCTGCTGACAGGGGATGTAGCACTATGAGAGTATTCCAGTAAGCTTTATTAATTCTAAATCCATATAGGTTTAGGAAACTCACAGGAAAGAAGTAACTGAGTTTTCAATGCCTCTATATGCCAATAAAACTTTTCATCCTTAAAGATTAATAAGCTAAATATCTCTTGTTGCCTTCTTATCACTTTGACGAGATTAATTATTACGTATTATGGGTATTATTAGCTTAAACAATAAACCTGCTAAAACACCCAGTCTGTTCACAGTAAAATGTACTAAAAATTATTGAGTGTTTATTTAATATGACATTGACTGGACTATAAACTACATGTGTTATAAGCAAGTAAATAGAATATCATTACGGATTGATATTTTCCTATAATTTTTGTCCTCCGCTGTCTTTTTTAAATGATGTGAAGAAAAAAATTTACATATACTTCTCTTGTTAAACAACTTTTCTCATCCTTCACCCTACACAGTAACTACTACTGCCATTTACATAAGATTTTTAAGGTACATGGGAGAGAAGAAAGAGGTCACTGAAAATAAGAAAATGCAATCAGCAGCTTACAAGAAGTTAACAGGAAGACTCAGGTATGCACTTACTGCCTGAATCATTCTTAAGATGTCAAATCAAATGAAGCAAGAAATTTTGATTTATAATAATTGTGTGTATATATAGCTGAATGACATATTTATGTACACACACTTCTACATCACTGCATAGAAAACAGCAGTTAAATGAAGTCCAATTTGTTAACATGTCTATTAAGAAATCTGTTTCTAAATAACATGATGAATATGACTGAATTTCACAGCAAAAGAGTCCAGTAGAAATCAAAGAAAGACATTATGACAAATGAGATGGTGAAGTGGTTTTTTGGGGTTTTTCTTGGTTTGGGTTTTAGGGTTTTTATGTGATTGGTTTGAGATGTTTAAATGGCCAGGGCTATTTTTTATTTACTGTCATGAAATCAGTGCTAAAAATTCAATAGAAAGCATCAACTTACAGCTTAATTGTTGGATAGCCTCGTACTCCAAATTCAGATGCAATACCTGAAAGAAATGTGTTAATGCCAAAGTGAATCAAGACTTTCTTGTTCTCCTACCTTAATCTTTAAACACAGTTTACTATTCAAGCCACAATAACAAATGAAAGAACTCCCGCTTAGTTTATTATGAATTATTTTTCTTGCTTTCAAAGAGCTGCTGTTATTAAGCTACTAAATTTTGGACCCCTTTCAGAGGTGCTGAAGGGTCCCAGCATAGGCTCTCAATTCATATGCCACTACTCAAATGCCAAGAGAATCCTCCAAATAGACATGCTTGGCCCATTCTCACCAAAAGTTAGCATGCCTTTTAAATTACAGATACAATTGACTGAAAATACTAGAGGCAAGAATTAAGCATCAAGGATGTAGAGTTGTAAATAGTAGTGCTTGAAAGAAATACAAGATATATGACATATGCTACAGTAATGCCTAACAACAGAAGTGCAGTATCATAGTGCAGTAGTTACAAAAATGTTTTTACATCATATTCTGTAGACATAAATGAACCTCACCAGACACAGACACTTTCTAAGCAATCAGTTATTTACCTGCTGCTTACTGATGTGGTGAAAAGTAAAACAACTGCAGAACTTTTTCCCCTCACCTCAGGTTTGTTTAAAACCTTGTATCTTGCTCCCATCTATTACTGGAGTACAATTTGCAACTACCCTTCCACTTGTGAACATAGCAACTGCCACCTCAAACTACACTTTCCAGTCAATTCAGTGTTTTCCAAAAGTTAAACTAAGTAGTCTTCCAAAAAGGTTAAAATTAAGTATAAAATTCTGAGAACACTTGTGCAATTCCCTATTGAGTAACAATTCTCACACTCAAAAAGCACCAAGAGACAACACCTGTAACAAACATTCTTAAGCTATCAACCATGTGTCAGAGCAAGCAGATGTGGGAGGACTTGTGTGTAGGCCTCTCAATAACAGTTCAGGAATTATGACCCTAGGGTTGTTTGCCTGGATCAGTACCCTATTGCACAGCTCTACAAATAACACTAGCAGCTCACCTACAGGCATCTTAGGCAAAGATGACTCTTCTAAGAAATATGCATACTAGGATAAATTTTATTCTGATCCTTTCCTCTCACAGCTCTACTACACAGACTAAAAATGCATTAAAATGTGTATTAGAACACTCAATCACAAGAGCTGTCAACAGAGAGTTTATTTCTCCTTGTACAGCTTTCATGCATGGACAGGAAAACTAGAAAATAGACAGTTTTTAACACATTATTTTTAAACCTCCCAGCCTTGGAGATTACCAAAATCCTCTCAACATCCTGGAATTGACATACTATTTACACCATCACCTCCACTTCTTGATATGAAGAATGCAGTACAGGTAAACAGCAGCAATTGTGCCAGCCCAAGGTGTGATGTGTTTCTACTCTGATCACATTCAGTCGACTTTGAGGCAAAGCCCCCTGAAAATTCAACTGATAAAACATTAAGTGACTACTCTGTTGATAAAACTCCTGTATCCTCATAACACAGAGCGACCCGAGGCAACACTTACTGGATGATTTATACGTACATCTGTAATTTCAGCTCTCTGACAACAAGCTACCCAGAGTTCACATTTTTCATACTACTTGCTATTTCTATTAGGAACACAAACTATGGGGAGCCAATCATTCATGTTCCTTCCTGGTTACATGTCCACGCGTTCCAGTTGCATTTCCTTCAGATATTCTCAAGACTGAATTACTTTTATTTCACAGATTCTTTAAATTGAAAAGACATCAAGCAGAGTTGACTTCAGCTTTTCATATCCAGATGTTGTAAAATTTCCACTTTCAAAATAGAAGCGTAAAACTATTTCAAGAGATTTATTGCACACTCTTCTTTATAAAATTGGTAAAAATCTGAAAAGAAAGACCTTTTCAGGGCACCAAGGAACTCTTGCAGCATTCAGTAATTTTTATATATGAAAAACTGAATTACAGAACTAAAACAATGTGCCAATTCTGTTCTAGGTATAAAATATAACATTTAGCATCAGGATGACAGATGTAAATATTTCAGGATAAAAGTTCATATCATTTATATGACTTAAAATTTTATATATATGACTGGAAAGCTAGAGATCCACAAAATGAACTTGAGACTTCTAATGCTCCAGACTTACTATGGCAAATAAGTATCCTTAAAATAAAACAAAATGTATGTGGTTTTACAGAAAAACCTACATACAATAAACTGGTGTTTGAGACAAAACCATTCTGATCTCAAAAGACCAAACTCTGCTACATGTAAGCACAGAAGAACTGGAATATCACTCATAAAGTATTCTGCATAATATTTTAGGTAAATAAAACAAAGCTGAATAATCAGATTTAACAAGGATTAATTAAAAATGTTACATGTATTTACAAAATTTTATTATGTATAGATCTCACCTGGGCCCCACTCCTCCCTACGCCTTCCCTCTTAAGTATCCTCCCGGTTCAACACAGATTTAAGTGAAATCACAATAAACAATTACATGGAAAAAAAAGAGAAAATACTCTTAAGCATTCAACAATCCTCTCACATCTACCCAAACCGTTTCTCTGAACACCTAAAGTTTTGGGTTTTCCATGAGAAAGTCAATACTTAGGAAAAGCACCAGTAAAAAAGAAAGCATTACAGCTGAATTTGGTTCTTCACGAAGACATTTACAGAGAAACATGGGAAAAAACTGGTTCAACAGTAAATTCAAAGATTTCAGCAGGCTTTCTGTAACAGTTTAAGGACCAACTACCTGAAAAGAATAACAGCAAGAACACAAAGCACTCCTTCAACAGTAATACAAGGAACCTGAAACTGGATGCTGTCAAGACACACCGCACATAAAATGCTTATATAAGTACTCTAAGAGGCGTATCAAAAGCAGATCTTTGAAAAGCTTTTACCTTCCATTAGTCAGGAAGAATTCCCTACACAAGCAGAAACAAACGGGATAAAAAACATATACTACAGCAAGTTGTCACTTTTAAAAAGAAAAAGAGTAGGAAATTGCTCTCCGATGACTGTTTGCATACTTGTGTTATGATACAGAAGAATAACTTAATATAAAAAACTAAAAGTCTCAAAACAGAGCCTGCAATGAAATTATCCCTAACCAAACCATACTTACTAGAAAAGGAAGTTGCATCCATCTTCCCAACTTTTACTGGAGAGCCCATGTTTCTCATTTCTATGCCCACTTCATTCCACACAGGCTCCAGTTTCTTGCAGTGGCCACACCAAGGTGCATAAAACTGAGAAGCAAAAACATTTTATTAAAAAAAAATAAGTTAGTAGAAGCTGATTCTACAATTAACCCTCAAATCATTAGCAAGGCTTATTTTCCAGTCATGGTTCTCCTTATGTCTTAATAAAATTGCAAGCCAATTACAAGGCTAGCATGACACAGAGCATCTATCTTTGGTCCTACTTTTAATATGAAAGCACAAGTTTGAAAAGAATACATCAAATTGTTGCACTATTAAATGATTTCTTATTTAAAAACAGACTGTGTGGGAACATTTTTAAAAATCTTCTGGAATATTTTCCTCTTTTTTTTTGAAAGTTAAAAGATCACATAAACGATCTATCTGTCAATAGGGAAAGGGCAATAGACACTATGTATACTTTCCCAAGCTGCCCCCTGGATTTTGGTTCTTCAGCAACTACCTTTATAGAAGCACAGTGAAAAACTGATCCCATTTTTGCAGGACCAAGCAGAGCTGACTTTATTTCATCTTTCTACCTATGTCTTGCAGCAACACCTCAGTGAAATTAATAGGAAAGCTATTGATGTCTTGGTACAACAAGATCAGGTCACAACCTGACAAAGCTGAATTCTGTTTTGTTATACTTCACCGATAACTGAGTCAGCACATTTAGTTTTTCCCCACTCAAAAATAACAAATCTGAAAAATACAATTTTGAGTATTACAGTACATATTTGGGTGAGATAAAAGGAATATTCCCTCATCCACAAACAAGCTCAATCTTTTTAGCAATTCCTTCTCCCTGAAATAAGGAGCACCGAAACTTTCCAAATAAGTTAGAAAAGTAAATTAAGCCTCTCACATATTTGATCTTGAAGTGCTAATAAATGTCTAGAACACAAATTAGCTGGTATAATTAGAGAATGGAACCAGTACAATTCTGAAAAGAGGTTACCACCTCCTGATAGTAAGTGTTAGGTAACCTGCTTTCTTTTTTTAAGGACTGCAAAATATAGGATGAAAGTTATCTGCATGCAGTATTCAACCTATTCCTGGTTCATCCTGAACAATACAAATTGCTTTTCCATCTTGTCAGAATTACTGTCATGAAATTTTTCTGCATCATGCACAAACAATTTTCCAAATGATGAAGCAGCCTTACTACAAAGCGCAGCATTGTAAATTTTATCTTTTGATTTCCACTAGCAGACCTTCCCATTTTTCTCACATACTCACATCTACAAGCCAAATATCATCTTTACGGTTTTCTTTAAACCTAAAAAGGGAAAAAACAAAATCAATACATCATGTATCTGAAAATAAAACAGTGAAGTGCACATGTGAAACAGGCAAAATCTAAAACTAAGATTCTTTATTTGGGTGTGAAGAAACAGAGAAGATAATATTTTCTAGTACTAACACTGCCCCAGCACTTGCTACTACACACACAGATGTAGGTTCCTATAGTTATTTCCCAGGAAAAAAAAAAACAAAACCAAACAACAAAAACTAAAACCACAAACAAACAACAAAAGAAACCAGAAAACCAGCAAGAAATAAGAATACATATAAAAGATATTTGATTGGCATATGTAATCTAAGGGGAAGAAGTATTTTGCAATTGTCTTAGTGATATCAAATACTGTTGACAGTTGTATTTTTACAGATCAACTAATACAGACTCTTAGAGCATTGGTTTACACTGTTAATCTTAGCTTTACTGAATGTAAGCTAACTAAATTATCTCTAATATTAACACATAAAGCAATTTTAGTTCAACCTACTTTAACATTCTACCACAGGCGTGTCAGTTTGTGACTTTATTGAAGTTACACAAGAAATCAACTTACTGGAATAAAAATGATTGACAAAAACCAGAGATACACAAGTGCTACTGAATACTCCTAATGCTAGACAAATGACATAAAGTGAATTGACTAGCTTAATTAACTGTAATTCTGTCAATAAATGCTAAAACCTCTAAAATTAAAATAGAATACGATAAATCAAAGTTCTTTGCTACCTCCCAAAATGTTGCTTACACACCTCACTGAACTGTTGTCACTACATGACAATATGAATTATTGCATTAGGTAACGATTTCTATGCAGATAAATAAATAAGCCAGAACTTCAATGTAAGGTTTATTTCTGTAAGGCAAGTTTCATAAAAGTTACTGGAATTGGGATTAATGTTACAAGCCATACATGATACTACATTCTTACTGCAACACTTCTGTGGTGAAAGGAGATGAAAATTTTTATATAATTATGCAGTGTGTGATCTACACTCTAAAATCCAATTAATAGAAGTTATAGCCCAGCTCACCAATTCCCAGTACACAGCATGCCTATAAATGGCTCATAGGCAGTAAGCAGAATCAGAGAACATTTATTATATTTCATTTAAAGTTGAATCTGTAATAGTCCACAATGGTCTTGAAGAAATAGTAATGCTGATGTTGGCTTACTGTTTGAAAGAAGTAATTCTGAAATCATGAATGCAATCTAATTACAGTGCTGAGTGTTTGAAACAGAAATGCAGCATTTCACTGGTAAATTCCAGCCATTTTATTGATGGTATAACAAGGTTACAATGCCTATACAGCAGGAAAGGTATTTGCAGCAACTAACACAAAACTGCTCTAAGAAAGCAGCATTTTTAAGTCACAAAATTACTTAGTTGAGCAACTCACTAAAAATTTAATTCACCACCCTAAGTGCTACAGAGCTAACAAAAGAACCAGTTAGAGTCTGGCATCTCTTGAGAACTCTAACGGAGCTGCAGCTAACTTCCAATTACAATGTTAAATAATTGGTTATGATGCAAGAGGTAGAAAGCAGCTACTGAATCATAGGATCCTGGCTGTGCTTCAACTTAGAATATGACTTTTGCTTTGAAAAAGAAGAATTTACAATTAATTGTTCTCCTCCCTCTGCCACAGTATAACTGTTACGGGAGACTGCAAAGAACATTACAGCACTGAGAAAGGTAGACTGAAATTTTACAAAACCAGCAGATAGCAACGAAAAAAGGAGAAGAAAGGAAACATCTGGAAGCTGAATATTTCAATGAAATTTAATAACTTCGGCCTAAGATAATATAAAAAATACCATAGTTTTTACAATAATAAATTTCATTCACAAGTACCTATTTCATCAACTTCCACAGAACTAAAATATGAAGTGTAACAAAAACCCAACTATCGAAACTCACTCTAGTTTTGTTAATGTCAATGATTAAACTACTAGACAACAATAAGGAAGTTCAACATACTGTTGAGCAAAAACAGAAGTCTCTGTGCGAAAGAGTATTCAAGCATTCTATAAAGGTGCTGTTTCCAGGACCTATAAATACATTTCCAATTGTAACATTGCCTCTTTTTAACTGACTTGTGCAATCTCCTATCAGCTGACAGACACAAATACACTGATGGAAAGGTGTTGCACGTCTTTGAATCAAAATTATTTGTCTCAAATAAATACGTCTTCCAAACTACATGATCAAATGTTCTCTCAACCTCCACTTAAACCAAGCACCCCACTTAATCACGAACAGTTAATTCAACAATTAGAACAATTCCAAGGGCCTTCAACCAACACAGCTGCTGTGTTTATTCCTTGCTGTCTGGCTTCTCAATTCTCTCTGCACCATTTCTTATGCTTCTGATCCTGGGTTGAGCCACCAGTGCATCCTCACCGAGAGAGAAAAATTTCCCCTTTTAGCCAGGTTACTTAACTTCTTCATTATCACACTAGAACAAGTGCACAAACACTGCAACATGAATACTGATCCTGAACAACTCATCAATTCTTACTCCAAACAGTAGTTGGAAAATCCAAGTGTTGTAAAATAGAATTTTTTTTATTGGCTATTTAAAAAAGTGATGTCACTGCAGAATTACGCTTTCTCACTCCAAAACAGCAAATACATTTAAATTCACACCTGTAGAAACATCATATGGGAATGTGATGCAGGAGCACAGATACATTCACTTACTCTACTTTCAGTCCTTGAAAATGAGTCATGTAACTTATGACAGGTAATTTTGGGGGGCACCAGCACCTATGTAACCAACAAACCGCTAAAGCAAGATAGTACATGACCAGTGACACTACACAACCAACTTAATGGCAGGATTGCCCATTTCAACTCCTACACAGTCTCAGGGCTAATTCTGCTGTAAAGGCACATTTGTTTACTCTGTAATATAACTGGCACTTCAAGCAGCCGTGAACTAGTCCTGCAGGCCTCCTTCTCTTTTCCGTTTCTGGCCATGCATGAATGCACTTATACTCGTTCTCCCAACCCCTTGTGACAGCCATGCAGCAAACTAATGAAGAAATTTCAGCACAACCAGCTTTTACTTGGGGCAAGCACGAATACACCAGTACATTTATGCTACCACGAGCAAGAAAGAACAAGGAACTCCAAGGACACTTTTGGCAATGCTACCTGCAATAACAGCTTCCAAAAAAAATCTGAAAAATTAAATTGTTCAGCAGCTTCATTAACTGAACCTATTTAATAGGTGAGACTGAGGGAAGGCCTCATCACGGTCTACAACATCTTCATGAAGGCAAGGAGAGGGGCAGACACTGATTTCGTTTATGTGGTGACCAGTGACAGGACCCAAAGGAATGGTCTGAAGTTCTGTTAGGAGAGGTTTAGGTTGGTATTAGAAAAATGTTCTTCACCCAAAGGGTGCTCAGGCACTGGAACACGCTCCCCAGGGAAGTGGTCACAGCATCAAGCCGGACACAGTTCAAGAAGCACTTGGACAATGCTCTCAGTTACATGGTGTGATTTTTGGAGCTGTCCTGCACAGGGTCAGGAGTTGGACTTCAGAGCCTTGTGGGTTCCCTCTAACACAGGGCATTCGATGATAACTCAGGCCACAATCTTTCTGCCATTACTGCTAAGAAAAAGGCAAACTTTTCCAATGCAGCTTTCTTAAAAAGCACACTATGCACAAAGTGTGGGATCATGTTCCGCGCAAGAATGCAAGCACTATTTAGGCTATAAGGCAGGACACCCCAGTACTTACGACTCATCCAGATCCTCCACAAAACCCACGCCTGACGCCACCACATGTGCCACCACTGCGAGGCAAGGAGAAGCGTTCCGTGAGTGATGTCCGACCCACCCCGGTGCTCTCAGCCCCGCCAGCCGACAGGCTCACCGCGCAGACAGCCAACCCTCCACCCTGGCCCCTCTCGCCCCCAGCGCTTCCCCACAGCCCAGTCCAGCCTGCTCCGCACCTGCTGCCCGCCTCCCAGCCTCACCGCCCTTACCTCCCTCTACCCCGCAGCCCCAGCCCGGAGGAGCTGCTGCCGCCCGCCCATCACCTGCCGCCCAAAGGAGACCCCGCGCCCGCGCTCCCGCTCCCGCCGCCATGTTTTCCCGGGAGCCGCGGCACGGCCGGAACGAGAAGCGCCGACCTTTTCCCCACGGCGCACGCGCGGGGGCCGTGGGCGAGGGGCGGGAGGCGGGGGCGGCTTTAGGGGCGCTTCCCGCCGGCTCGGGCGGTGGGCACGGTTCGATGTATGGTGACTCCCCACTGTCCGGGGCTTTCCCTTCGCTCCGCCGAAAGGCGCCCTTGGAGGCAGCGAGGGGGGAGGCGACTGTGACACCGTTACACGGGCCGGGCCGGGCCGGGACGGGCCGGGACGGGACGCGGGTGGACGTTGTCGTCTCCCCACTGGGGAGACTCGTTCGGTTGTATCAATGCTCTGGTTCCTTGGAAGAAATAAACCACGTCCTCCTTCGAGCAGGAACGCGTGTGCCGCCGCCTTTCGTGTTGCCCGCGGGTAGGACTCGTCTCGCACCACTCAGCTGCGGTGTCAGCAGCCTTCCTTCAGCTTGTGGGGGAAAAAAAGGAAATAAAAAAATCACTCTTTTGAATTTAAAGAGACGGCGAAAACTCATGAAGCAAACAAACAAAAAAAAATTATTCAGCGCGCTGAGTCTAATCTCATACCATACTCCCGGGGAGAAAAGACCCTTTGGGATTAAATTTCGTGCATTTTTTAGTTCACAAAAGTCCACCCTTTTTCAGATTAGTTTATTCATTTTTACCTAAAAAGGTTTCTTTTCCCCCAAAAAGGGGCTTTTCTATCTTTCTGATTGGCTGCTAGGTGTCCTCTGCCAAGAATGATGGATCTTATTTTGTTCTTAACCCAAAGGAAAAACTTCTGTGTTCAAAATTTTCCAAACGGCCCAGAAAGGTTTTAATTTTTATGAACTTCTCTATTTCCCTTATCCTGGCCGCAAAGGAACCCTAAAAAACCTGGGCTTTTTATTTCTCATAAGCTTGTGTGTGAAACACTTGCTTCCTGCTACTCAGTGTCCATAAGTTTCTCTTTAGTTTCCCCTAGTACAAACCTGTTATGGTATTTCCTATTTTCAACTACCTCGTTTCTCTGTCAGTGCAGATCTGTGGGTCCTGAAAGGTCAAAGAACCCTGCTGGGAAACGTTTTTTAAAAAGCTGAGAGAAAACAGGGCTGGGATTGCTCAGCCTGGAAAAGAGAAGGCTCAGGGGGACCTTATCAGTATGTATAAGTAACTGAAGGGAAATGCAAATAGAGCGATGCCAGGCACTTTCCAGTGGTGCCCACTAACAGGACAAAAGACAATGAGCATAAACTGAAACATGGAGTGTTCTCTCTGAACCTCAGGAAGCACTTTTTCACTGTGAGGGTGACTGAGCACTGCTTACCAGTCTTCCACCTCAGAGATACTCATAAGCCCCCTTAGGACATGGTCCTAAGCAACCAGCTGGAGATGGTCCCCTTTGAGCAGGGGTTTTGGACCAAATGACCTCCAGAGGTCCCTCCTAACCTCAACCATCTGTGATTCCGTCTTCTCTTCCTTGTTAGTTTTGACTCCTGCAGTCTAAGTTCTTACATACACCTTTCTCCTTATAGCAGAATTACTTTCTTCAGCTATACATGCAAATGTTTGAGATCTTTGTTGGAAAAAGAATTTACCTTATTTTTGGGCTGCTCCATGTATATGTGTGTGTGTGTATGCATACCTTCTTGTGTTTAAATATATGTGGATACATGTTCTCCTCCTGGCTATTCATTACTTTCCTTACTAGGCCATACCTAGTCTGGCAAAGACTTCCCCTTAAATTAATGTTGTGTGGGTAAAGCATGTTGGATTCATCAAATGATTCCCAGAGCTGTCTGCCCATTAGAAAATCTAGCTTCCATGTCATAAGTCCATTGGCTGAGAAATAGGTCAAGGCCTGAGAGTATATGCCATAGCTCACATTAGAATTCTAAAGTATCTGACTCTGGCCTATGCTAGACATATTTTTTCTTACCCATGTTTCACTGAAGGATTACGCAGCATTAGGTCTTAAAAAGACTATTTCACTTTTTTTTTTTCCTCCCCCTTTATCCCCCCACACCCAACTAATAAATTCCTAACATCTGTAGTGGATAAACTGTGACAATTATTCATTGAATGCAGAGAATTTCTTTTCCATGCATTTCACTTTCTGTATACCCCGGTTAGCTAAGTACTGTCTGTATGGCTGATCAAATGAAAGCTGGCATCTTTTTGATCTTAATCTAGCTGCTGTCTAGACTGAGACAATGAAAACAATTTACTCTGTCAATCCTTTAGTAGAAAATCCATACCAGAGAAAATGGGGATAGCCAAGTGACTGTTAAATTAGTAAAATCCTGTTCTCTTCCTCAGACAGTTCATGGTTGGCTTTAAATAACTTTTAAAGTGAAATAAATACTTTATGTAGTTTTGAATGGATTGAACAAATCCCTCTAGGTCCTATTTGTTAGCTTTGAAGTTTATTCTCTTTACAAATAATGGAATATAATTGTTAAACTTTTGCATTTAGTAAGTCAGTGTTGTCTTCTGCAATGGAGTACAAGCCTGTACATTATTCTTGAAATATTTTATCTTGAAATTGAAGGAGTCACTGTATATTTACTACTTTGTAACTAAATTTATGTACACCCACATACACAACACTGTTCTATGTTTATTTATACAGTTTTCGATGAAGCTTTACTGCATAAAATGTATATAGAAGATACTTCTTGCACTTCAGCCAAGTAAAAGTATCGTGGGAACAGCATGTAACATGCAAAACAAATAAACTGGATAATGATGGATGAGGTCTAGAGAAATGTCAGGGGGTTTTTGTGGTTTTGTTATTTCTACCATGAACATTTCATTTGAAAAGATACAGGATTAATGTATTACTGTTAATAGATTACTAAATTCACTGGAGAACTTAGTGTAGAAAAGGGATGATTTGGCATATGCACTGAGCAGAAGATATATTAAAAAAAAAAAAAAAGCCATAAAGGATAAGAAGCAAAAAGCACAGAGGGTACTATCGAAGCCCTGGGAGGTACTGCAGCAAAAAGTGGGAATTATAGGGAGATCAGCAATCAATGAAACATTGGAAACTGAACACCAAGGGTTCAAAGACTCATTCCAATCCATATTGTTTTTTGTTTTTGTTTTTGTTTTTTTTTTTAACCTGTTAGACAGGGAAATTCAACAAAGAGAAGATCAAGGTTTGCCCCATGGCCTGCTGAAGGTGGTTTTACAGTCCAATTTTGCTGTTGCAAGATTTTTGATCTGTTTGTGCAGACTGTCCACTCTTCTTGCCCTGTATGAAGAGCAGGGAAAAGGATGGTTTACCTGTAACTTTAAATTATACAGTGCAGACTTAGTTTTACTGGAATATGTGGACTTTTACTTTAAGAGAAATAATCTCTTTCAAATAAATTCCTGTCTAAGATTCATTCCATTGTAAACAGAATATCAAGGTTGATTTCAATACATATTTGCATAAATAAAATACTTAGAATATTGAAATTCTTTTACACATCTTTATTATTATACAGTGGGTAATGAATCCATGACACCATACTAAAGAAGACTTCCCAGCACTGCCCAGCCAGGCATGAAAGTTTGTATGGAAGGATCAGATTAAAAATATAGAAAGTGGATGGAAGAGTTGAAAGAAAGAAGAAAGATGTGGGAAAAAGAGGAAAGGAAGCAAAATGAGACCTTGAACAAGAAAAGGAGGCACAGAAGAAGATATGAGAGTGTTCTAATATGGACAAAGTTTTGGAGGTAGGTTTGGTGACCAGTTAATACTGTGGCCTACATCAAGAGCTTATGGTAGGGAGGGAAGAAGAGAAGTTAAGAAAAGTCAAGAACCTGAAATGTGGAAAAGACTACAGGTTCTATCTAGTGAAGAAGGCAAACCAAGAAATTCCCATACCTTCTAAATTTGCCACCAGTACTATCCCCCAATGATGCTACTATTTTGGGGTATATATTACTATTTATTTTATATAAATTTTACTGTATATTTTTATTTCATTGTATATTATTTACTAAATATATTTGCTATTATATGAAATTTTTAAACATCAAAATGGTATTTCTGAACATTTACACAAAAATTTTATACAAAAAGTTTTCCAGATATTTATGTTTTTCTTTCAGGTGTCTGAAATCTGAGAAAGTGTGGGAAAATATATATTTTAATTTTAGTAGAAGTAGTCCAGGAATAAGCTTTGTAATTTCTAAATTAAAAGAGATTTTGAAAGTATAGAAAATATATATTTCTTATTACTTAATAAGAAACAGGTGTTCTGCATTTCAAAAATATTCACTCCCTTGGTATTTACCTTTTATCAAAATTTAAAATTACAGTGCTCACAATTAAGAATTGTTGTCTAGACATGTTAAGCAGAACAAAAATCTGAATAAATATTACTCAAATAGCTTTTCACGTGAACCAGATGGACTGTCATAATGAAAGTGGAGGGAGGATATGTACTTTAATTCAAAAGAGATGAGTGCACATTTCTGAACAAACACTTATTGTGTTTTTATATTTTTAGAAAACACATCCATACACTTGTATAACTATATGCCAGCAACAGAAGTGTTTGTCTTCATGTGTAATATCGGTAGTATCACAAACAGGATCATCAGTAATTGCATCATTCAGTATTGAATGTTTTAACAGACAATATGCTGTTATAAATAGTTGATATCAGTGCTGCTTACTTCTCTCTCTCTGCAAGAATAAGCTGTACTAATATGTAGTATCTTCCCATAGTGACTACATCTATGGCAGTGGGTCTGTACCAGCTTATTTGTGAGTACCTAAGTCAGTGCCATAAAATGAACTAAGCAGGAACACATTTTTCATGAATCATAATTAACTTCAAAGTAGTAATAAACTGGCAGTGAAATAAATTCATGTTCAGTTAGAAGAACACATGATCTGGTACACTTTGGGGACTTTTTACGTGCTTTGCATGACAATGCATGCAGGTTCTGCAAGGTGCAACACGAAGTAGAATCTGAATTAAAAACATAATTTTGATGGCAC